TCGAACTAGGGAGCAAGTGTAGAAGTACCCAGAGTTCCAGTCCTAACTTAATACAAAAGATCAACAATACTGCTGAATGCCAGAAGTGTCCAAACCTGAAATCCATTTTTGTTTAGTAGAAATCAAGGTACCAAAAAGCAGGGTGCTGTGATTTTAATGAAGAGCTGCGATATCTGCCATTTTTTTTGAGTGCAGTACAGGTTGGACCACCCTGGTCGGGCATACTCGAGACCTGCCCAGTCCCAGACAAGGGAGTTTTCTGGGTTTGGGAGGAGGGGCGCCAGCCTCCCCATTGGGATCCTTTCCAGCCTTCCAGCCCTACAAGCTGCAGCAACCATGCTGGAACTCCTGGCCCTGCAAGCTGTGGTGACCCTGCCGCCCCGCTGGCCCTGCGGAAGCCCTGCCACCCTGCCAGAGCTCCTGACAACCCCACCAGCTCTACCACATCACTGGAGTTACCAGCGGCCCCGCCAGTTGTGGGCTCCACTGCTTCATGAGCTCCACCCTCTCGTCCCCGTCAGCTTCCCTGGCCCACAGACTCTGCTGCTCCACTGGCCCTAATGGCCGGCTTCACTCTAGCCACCAGCAACCTCTGCCACTGGGGGCTCTCTAATCCTGCAACATCCTTGGTCCTGCTGGACCATAGATATTGTCGAACCAGTGTCCTGGACCATAGAGATTCAACCTGTTCTCTGCAGCCTATGCTCAATAGATAATCAAGTTCCTAACTACCAGACATTCAGACTTTTCCCCTTTTGCCCTTTGGTTTGTCACTCCTGAAGGTGTAAAACCAGCCTTCAGTAAGTTATCAGCTCACATTGGCTCACACTGGCACATATCTTCCACACAGTCTGCACAACAGAGACCTGTTTGAGGTAAAAATAAACTACAGGTTTATTTAACAGAAAGACCACAGATTCAAAGATGGAGTGAGGGAAGCAAACGCATATAAGTTACACAGTAACACAACATTAAAATGCAATTTGAGGTTTTATGCTTCTATACTAGATAAAATTCCTTTTTTAATATGTTACCTATTGTCTTTGAACAGTTCCTCGGTGCATGCCTACCCATAAGGTGGAGCCAGTATGCATACACAGCTTCCCATCCCCAAGACTGTGCCAGAAGTTCTGGATAGCTTCAGTTCATACTCCTCCATTTAAAAAAGATTTTTCAGTTTTCCCCTCAGTCACTATAGATATTGAAAGTGGGGGAAACATCTTCCCTTCTTAGTTTTCAAGGACTCCCCCCCCGCCCCAGTTTCAAGCTGTTCCCATTTGCTTTGATAGTTTCTTGTTGTCTTTTCCTGACCTGGACAATGGCTTCATTCCAGTCTCATCTACAGAACCATCTTGTCCACCGGACAGTTCAAGGCAGCCTCCCTGCCCCTGCACTTTAGGGTGGCCTGGGGGATGGTTCCCTCCCTCCCCGCACTCACCAGTGGTGGCAGAAGCCATGGCAAGCGGAATAACCCAGCCCCAGCCTGCTCCACTGATTCTTAGCAGCCTTACACCTGATCTAAGTGTAACAAATTTCACACAAAATAATGAAGTGAAACACTCAAGCTTTGATTATTTTCAGAGACTATTCATTGCCACTTAGAGCAGAAGTTTTAATGGTTTAAAGCCAAATCAAAAAACTCTCTGGTTTCAGAAAAAGGCAAGGAAAACAGCCCTGAGAAATTGCTACAGTGCAAGACAAAGACACTGATTCTCCAGTGCCTTGTACGTTGTACAGTCATTTATACCTGTGTGAAGTAAAAATGAAACACTCATTTTGATTTAGTAGCATTTTATATTCACTTTGCAAGGTGCAAGACTATACAGAATCAAGCGCACAGACTGCAAATTCAACACTATTTTACTTTCTTATTAACACAAACACATAATGAACACAAGCAAGGCTATTTACACAGTCTATTTCCATACACAGCCGCTACAACTTCCAGACACTAGTTATTTTTATGCCTCTACGATGTAATTAATTTATTTATGCTGGTGGTGTGATGATCCAGTTATTGGGTACTATGAATGCAGTACTGATAGACTATTTCATAGCTAAACATGCATTATTAAAAAGGAAATAAAAATGCATTACTCTGTTCACTTCCAAACAACGTTTTGAACAACATAAACAATGGTTGAAGCAGAAATACTGTCTCATTTTGTATTTTTAACCAACAAAGAAAATGCTCTGGGACAAATTAAAACAATGGTAAATAGATTAAGGATGTAAAATCCCAGTTAATCAGTTAACCGTTAGGCTTAACTGATTAACTGTTCAAGCAGTATCCCACTCCTGCCTCCTCTGCCCCGCACAGGTCTGCTGCTGCTGGCCTCCTCGTGTGCATGGTGGCCGGTTTCTGCTTCCAACTAGGGATGTAATAGTATAGTCGATTAACCGACTAACCGATAAGCAAAAGCTTATAGGTTAATGCTATAGATTACACACCTTTCCCCTCTCTCTTGTCAGTAAATTTTTTAGCAGGCTGGCCAGCAGCCCAGCTCAGTCCCAGCTTGCACTGCATCCCGCTGCAGCTCTGCATTTAAAGAGTATTAGGAGCAGGCAGCCCAGCTCAGTAGAAGTTGAAGTGAAATACAAGACCATCCCACCAAGGAGCCCAAACATTCACCTGCCAGGGGCTCCAGCCAGCCCTGCGAGGTGAGAGGTGGTGGGAAGTGGCTCCCCGCAGCAACACCAGGTGGGAGCAGAGAGGCCGAAGCCACTGGGCCTCTCCTCAGGGCTGGAGCTGGGGCCAGGGCTGCATGATGGCTGCCCAGCTGCTCCTGAGGTGGGCTCTGTGGTGGCTGCCAGAGCTGGAGCCTGGACTGAGCTGCAGCTGCTCCTGGGACTGGGTACACCCGGGCCCCGGCACTGCAGCCTGGTTCCAGCTCTGGCAGCCTCGGCTGCCGAGCTGCTCCTGAGGTGGGCTCTGTGGTGGCTGCCAGAGCTGGAGCCTGGACTGAAGTGCAGCTGCTCCTGGGACTGGGTACACCCGGGCCCCGGCACTGCAGCCTGGTTTCAGCTCTGGCAGCCTCTCGCCATGTGGCCCACCCCGAGAGCAGTTGGGAAGCTAGCATGCCACCCTGACCCCCCACTCTCCCACCAAGCCCACCACCCAGCAGCAGCTTACCCTCCACTCCAAGGAAGGTGAGTGCTACTGTGGAAGGAGGTGGGCGGGATTACAATTCTTTGTGTGTGCCCGTGCAGGCATACAGCCTAAAGGGAACTCCCAGTGGCTGCCAAACACGCCATATTTGATTCCCTTGTGAGCCACAGATTGCCAACTCCTGACTAAGAGTGGCCAGAAGGGCTAGGGCTCCACCATCTTGCCTGCCACCAGACTGGATAAGTAGCTTCCCCCTTTCCCCACTCCGCCCTCTCCACGCTGGCCATTAGCTGCAGTGCCGGAGGAGGGGAGACAAAAGGCCCCTGGCAGCCAGGGAGGCTGGGGGGGTGGGAGTGACAGAAGACCCCTGGTGGCTGGGCAGGGGGAGGAGGGCTGGGAGGAGGAGGTAGAAG